ATACTCAATGTACAGCTGAACATCACATTTCATCTAGAGGCACTGTATCTACTACAGCTAAGTTAAAATGATTGAGTAACACTGCCATGACTCTACACACAGGACCGTACTTTTGGTCGAGTCTTGGGTATTGCCACAGATTTTTCAAATGGTGGAATGTAACTGTTTTTATGTTTCTATACACATCTAAGCACTCGTAAACTCACTTTGAACGCAGCTACTTTTTATCCATTTTAGATTAAGACAAATAAGGCGTAAAAAAAAAGTGCTAAAATATTTTTCTTCGCTTTGTTGAAGAATTCAAACATATACTAAACAAAAGGATCGTCGCGAAACGAAATTCCACTGGTAGATAATAATATTTAATATGGCTTGAAAACTTTACCACATATTTTTACGTTGTTTTTGGTTAGAGTCTGGAAAGGTTAATGAGAAATTAGTTTTCACCGCTACTAGGTTAAAACTAATGATTTAAGGTCCTAGGGTCGAGTCGAATCTGATAACAGTAAATGACTTAGTAGTATAAGTAAGATTAATATAAAAAACAACAAACCTTTTAAAGAAGAAATGTAAAACAAGCATCAATATGAATATAAAAAAGGAGCCAATTTTTCTCCATTTTTATTCATTGCTTATTTTACCCACTTTTTCATTACATCTTTACAGAATTTGTTCTTTTATATAAGCTTTTTTTATCACATCTATATATGGCTGATTTTTATTCTAACTTGGTTATTTTCGTGCATGTATTTTTTTTAATCGGTTCTAATGTATTATGAATGCAAACTTTATGACGCTAGTAATTTTCCTGTTTACAGGCTTTAAAGAGAAACATGGAAATGCTATGTAAGTGTCACGGGGTATCAGGATCCTGTTCCATGAGGGTTTGCTGGAGACAGCTTAAACCTTTCCGCCAGGTGGGCGAGTGGCTGTCCCGTAAGTTTGATGGAGCGACACACGTGCGCGCTGTCATGAAACAGGACAATCTGATGCTGATTCCATGGAAGGAGAACATTAAAAGGCCAAGCAAAAAAGACCTAGTTTACCTCGAAGAGTCTCCTGATTTCTGTTACAGGAACGAAACGTGAGCTTTATTTCTAAACAATTCTAACACTGGTTTTGCCTCAGAATGAAATGTTATAGAAGAGAGGACTTAGCGAAGAGATTATAAACTTTTATCTATAATTAAATATATATATATTCTTTACTATAGGCGTGCTTTGATCTATTTTCAAAATGAATAATTGTTCACGGTGTGTTCAAGAGTACAAGAAAGAAAAATTAAATGTGTAGAAGTTAGGAGAAATACTTTAAAAATACTTTGTTTTTATCACTTTAACCATTGTCTTAGATGTAGAAGTTAGGAGGTATGTGTAAAAATAACCTAATTTATAATTCCTTTTTCAGTGTTTTCTTTTCCCCCTTTTTATGCTGGTTAATAATTGAATTTATTTTCTGATTTGCTGAGCTGGTATAAAAACAATCAGGATGAGAACATAATGAAAGATGTGGGGAATTAGCCGAAGATTCCACCAACTGATTTTATTTGGGGTACAATTTTTGAATTCTTTATGAATTTGTTGGTTCACATGATCATTTAAAACTTCGATTAGTACGCCTATATCTGACTTCTTTACTGGTAGTTCTTTCCTACGATAAAGGTAATTGTAATCCTAAAATCGGGAGTCAGTCGTACAGAAATGAGTGTTTTGGTCGTCACAATATCCTAAAACTGCCTTTCATGCATAACTCAGCTTTAGAACTTTCTAACAGTACAACTTCAGTGTCCATCGGTCCACCTTTTGTAAAGAAATCTTCATTTGAAAATTAATTCCACCCTTATTTGTGTCAATATTTTGGTGAAAGTCCATTGTCTTTTGCAAAGTAATTTACCAAGAGAAGACCTGTTTTCAGTGCTATAGTCAATATACACTGTAAGAAAGCCATGTTTATCCTAGTCTCAGCTGCAAGTGCAAGGTTGGAAAGATGTGATACGTCCTCATTTCTGGATACAGTGATAACAGTATTACTGTTGAAGTGTTTTCAGTGCTATAGTCAATATACACTGTAAGAATGCCAGAAAGCCATGTTTATCCTAGTCTCAGCTGCAAGTGCAAGGTTGGAAAGATGTGATACGTCCTCATTTCTGGATACAGTGATAACAGTATTACTGTTGAAGTTTAAGCGATCAGAAAGAAATGTCGTTAAAAAAACCTCAGAACCCATTCAAAATAAGGCAAGAAAACTAGGAAGTAGAAGAAACATAAAAAAAAAACTTTGTTTTTATCACTGTAACCATTGTCTTAGATCGTTCAATGATTAACAGACTTAGACGTGATTAATCAGACCTCAACCAACGAAATCATAAGAAATAATTGAAGAATATTTGTTGTTGTATCTACTGAGAACAAAGAGTGTCCTAGATATCATGAATAGGTTGAAAACCATTCTTTTTCTTTAAATGTAAATCAAGATCAAAATCGAATGAGTAACAACAGTCCTGCTTTGGAAAACTTTTTATCAATATCAAAACATCATCTTAGGAGTTTCATTGCATTTTTTAAAGCAAGTAATTGAACCCTAAACTTTATACAAAGTATTATATACGGTATAATGAATTTTATCCTGTTCATTATAATTTTAGGGTTAAACTTTCAACTGTATTATTGCGCGTATCTTGCAATTAAACATAAAACGCTTTAAAGAATCCTAAGCTATACAATGCTAAAAGACAAAAATATATGATTGTGTTGTAAAAGAACAGGGAATTATTTGCGTTACATAACAAAAAACTTGTTTACATTACAGTTTTATCATTTCATTACAAAACTTGCCTTAAACCATATCTTTGTGCAAGTAATGATTCTTTCATTTCGAATTTGACACACATTTCTTATAAATATAAATATTTTAAAGAACAACGGTTTGTAATACTTCTATTCTCTCCCCAAATTATAGCCTAAAGAAAAAGATATACTACGCAAGTTATTTCACCAGTAATAGAACTACTTTACTGTGTATTTGGAAATATTGTCTATTACAATATCTTTATTTTGTCCATATGTGACGAATCCTTTGTAATTGTTATAGTTTTAGTCAGTTTAAAGTAATTTTTTACGATGCTGTATATTTTTCTAAATATAAAAGTCATCTTTAAACAATTCATCTTCGGGACATTTTTTATTATTATGAGATTTGATACGTATTACAAGATCAAACTATTTAAAGATTTCGTTGGTTACTTTGTCCTAAAATTATTGGTTATACATCTCGACTACATCATTAAAAGTTTTAATATTTCTTAATATGACAAAACATTAATTTTTATAGTTTGACAAATAATTAAAATATTCTACCACATTTTACGTGTCAACCAATGAAATCACGACTTGCTCAATATAGCTGATGGCATTGTCACCCATTAAAAATTACATTATCCAATTACACTGAGACATTTTTATAGATCTGGAAGGAATACATGCTTTGCCATATTTTTTTACTGAATGATATGTAAATCTCACACTGAAGTAGTGTTAGTGAGATATGATTCAGTTATACAGAAGGAATACGTATGCCACTTGAACTGTGGACCTAAAAGGAAAGGATGAATACCTACAAAGAAAGGGAAAGCTTCTACAGAACATTATGTCATTTATACGAAACATGTATAATGTGTAATGAATACCTACAAAGAAAGGGAAAGCTTCTACAGAACATTATGTCATTTATACGAAATGCTTTTATTCCAAGCCGCGCGCTTTGCGATCCCCTCCAGATGAAAATGAAACTCAATGATCCAAGCTACACTCCCCCTCCACATTCCACCGCTGGTGCATGCTCGATCAAACCAGATTACAGAGGCCACAACCATTTAATCCTGAGCATCAGGCCAACGAGTAACGTAATGGTCATGCCAAATGCATTATGTGCTCCTTAACACACTCAGCTAACTGTTGTACTGCTTGAATCACCAACCTAAGTATTTCATATGCACGATATTATTCTTTACTGGAGATCAGAAATAATGTATACAGAGAGAGAGAACTTTGTACCTGACTTTTGCCAGGTGATAAATGTAAATACGAAAAATTATACAAACTGTAACAGACCGGCTATGACTGATCTTTTATAGAACATAACAAAAAGATCAGGTTGAATACTGTGTGATGATTAACACATTAATTGCTACGTGTTACTATGTAACTTATGTAACTAGCCTGTCCAGATCTTAATTTGATGAATCTATCTTCAAGGATTACTTTGACCAATGCAACATTTGTGCAAACTCGTTTTGGGGTCTCCTCGTTTCATTAGGTACTTTGTTATCCAACAAATTCTGTGTAAAATTTTTAGCACTTTTGCTCTAAAGATTGTTTGTTTGTTCTTAATCACAAAGCTACACAATAATCTATTTGTGTTGTGCCTAATGCGAGTATCGAAACCCGATCTTTCGCGTTATAAGCCTTCATACTTACCGCTGAGCCATTGGGGAAGGGACAGGTATAACAGTTAGCTTTGTGTGTTTATTAGCACATAACGCATGTTGATCTGATGATAAGGCGCAAACGCCTATGGTTTCTGTACTATAGTTTAACAGAGCATGTATCAGGAGTGTAGAAATACGCTCTTCGTTCCGCCTTGGTGAGCGACTTTACCTTGGAGTTCGATATAGCTGCCTCCAAAAACTGATAAATAAACATACAAATCCTTTTGCACGAGGATGTTTAGCAGGAGGAAATATCGATAAGCCATCCGAATTTTAGATAGCATGCATTTGTATGCAGAGGAAACTGTCAAGGGCGAAGTTACAGTATGCAAATAATGACCACTTGTCCGATTAACGTTGACTGTATTGACCTATATCTCACTGATGGCCGAATAAAGATGCAGCAGCAATTACTCATAGCAAATTCTGAAATTATGTTGAAAACTTAAATACAACCACATAACTGGTTGTTATGATTAGAGGATTTAAGGATACACTACATATTCTTTATTTGAAAACTGTTAAAAAGGAATAACCACTATTTTACAGACGAGTCGAGTCTTAATTATGTTACTAATGCGTATTGGGTGATAAAAACAACAAATAGTAACATAAAACAATGTAAGCTACTGGACATGGTGAATACCAACCATTAGATTTCTTATTCAAATGATAATGTGTAATTGGTATCGGCCCGCCCTCATACAAATCACAGAAATTGGTTCTGCTGTTGAACAACGCATGTTCGAATTGGTTTGTTTGGAATTAAGCACAAAGCTTCACAATGGGCTATCTGTACTCTGCCCATCACAGGTATCGAAACCCGGTTTCTAGCGTTGTAAGTCCGTAGGCACACCGCTGTGCCACTGGTGGGCATTTGAATTGGTATGACAATTCAACACCACGGTTTTGCTCGATCTCGGTTGACGTGAAGAAAGATTGAAGCAGGTGTGGCTTTGGAATTTTGACAGTTACCTGAAGAATGTTTATACATGCACAAGTAGGGCAGTGCTGTGCACTCATAGTGTCAGTAATGTGGATCCTGGGATTCGGACGGTACAAGGAAAATGGACATACAAGACCAGCTTTTATACACATTATAAGTGTGTTCAGGATACCGTGATGATAAATTTTACTTCAAATGAATCGAACAATGACTGAAGGTGGTATGGGAACTGATTAAATGTGAGATTTACGTGGGTGAGTTATGAACAATATTTAAAGTGATTTCCTAGTCATGTTGTAGTTTTCAACCTTAGTGGAACAAGAGAAACACAATATATGTAAATAAGTAAACTAGAAAAATGGAGCAGATTTCGATCTTATAGACCCTTATCCTTTGTAAATCAACTTACTATATTGTTACAATCATGTGGT